TGGGGGAAGAAACGGCAAACCGTCGTCGATTTGGCATGGTCCTCAAAGGTCGGCAAGAACATGCGATCGTCAATATCGGAGTTGTGTGTCCGCTTCGGCAGCATGCTATTGAATTGAACTGTTTTGGCGTAGATGCTGCATGGTGCTGCCAACAGCCGAAAGCTCAAAAGACGCCTCGTTGAAATCCTTGAACGAACAGCGGGTTGTAACAGTGTACACTCTATGGAACCCAGCAACCAACTGACCAGAAATCCTAAGGTAAGCCTCGGCTTTGCACCAACCTCTGAAGGCGGCGCGGGTCACTCAAACACAGCAATATCGCAGCGATGAAATTTCAAGCAGCATATGGGATATCTACGAGCCGAGCAATCGTGGCGCTGCAGCTCAATCACCTACGAAGGCGAGGCGCCATGTGACGGGTTTTTTCGGGTTCCGGCATGTTCCGGCGCTGTTCCATGCAAGAGAAAAATGTGTTCCAGACATGCGTTCAGGCCGAATGCCCTACAGTACCACTTTCCCGAAGGAAGGTGGTGGGCCCAAGGGGCAGCACCAAGTGCGAGAGCAGCAGCCACATTGCATGTCCGGATATCGGACCAAACCGTTCCATCACCCGGCGCATGTTGGAAACCTCACCGAACCGCATTTTTGGCACAAGCGACGTGACGGCGGCTTTTCGTTTGCAGTTGTGTTGTTTCTTTTCCGACTGCGTGCGTTGGTTTGTATTGGTATTCTTGGGCCTGCGCTAGCGTAGCCAGCTGTTCGAAACAACTTCTTTGTTGTGGGCCTGCGATGCCTGCGCCAGCAGGTCGCCCAGGCATGTCCAAGAGCGATACAGCGTACGCACGCTGGGCCGCCACTGCCAGCATCCCTGACCATCTGTGGATGCTCGCCCGGCGGAGAGTCGCCCGCAGCCGTGCAGGTGCCGCTCTTTCGTTCTTGCCTCAAGGCTGGCGCAGTAGCAGAGTCCATTGCCCTTGTTGGAGGATTGATTGTTGTCATCGGGAATGCGCGCCAGCGGCAGCTGGAATAGGATGCTCGAGCCACCGTTGTCTCCCTGGATGGGCGGGGTGCTTACGACATCTTACGACTGTATCTCCCGGGGCGTTTCTGAGCAAATTATGCGAGGAGGCAGCTGCGCTCGGTGCCCTTCGTACGAGTTTTTTACGGCCAGACGTCGGAATACCAATGGTGGGACGCTGACGGGGTCCGCCACAGCATACGCCAGGCAGAGGGTTGCGAACAGGGCGACCCCTGCGCCCCTGCCCTCTTCGCCCTTGGCCAGCACGAGGCTTTGGTATGCTTTGGTCCGGGCAGACTCGCAGCTGCAGCATGACCTTTACGTTCTCCTGCCTGAGCACAGTCGTGCACGTGCCGCCATGGATTTGGTGACGGCAGCGGTCGAGACGCATGCGGGCTTTTCCGCCAACCTGGGCAAGACGCGTGTCTTCAACTACCAAGGTAGCCCGCCACCGCGAGGGATCGCGGATTTGGGTTCCGAAGTCTGGTGCGGCAGCCGGGCCCCACAGCAGCATGGCTTCGTAGCACTCGGCACCCCCATGGGCACGCCAGAGTACGTGCGCGCCTGGGGCGCCGAAAGACTCGAAGCGGAAGACGCGTTGCTTCGCCAGCTGCCTAAGTTGCCCGACCTGCAGTGCGCATGGCTCCTCCTTGCCTTCTGCGCTGCACGTCGCGCTAACCACATGCTCCGGACCGTCCCTCCCGACCTCAATGCGCCAAATGCCGCACGGCGTGGGTTTCCCGTTGGTCGGGGCTCCTCGCAGTCGCAGCACAGCGCGCCGTCGCAGCTTCCCTGTTGGAGCTCCCGCTCGCGGGTGAGTGTAATGTTGCCGGGGAGCCGCCGGATCTGCACGAGGTCCTCGCCGACGTGCGTTGGCAGCTTCCGTCTGTTGGCAGCCGCCAGGGGCCTCGCTAGTGCTCTGGTGTGTGCGCCTCCGTAGGGCCCGGTAGGCACTTCTGTCTGTGACTTTAGGCTGCCGGAAAAAGGTCCGCAAAAAAAAAAAAAAAATGCCGCCGCGCATGATGCAGCATGATGCAGCATGATGCAGCCATCTGGGGCACCATTCAGGGTTGTTTGGGCACAACCACGGAGGACGAGCCATGCCCCGCTATGCTACGGACTAGGGACATCGCTTTGCTCCCAATTAGCTTAGGAGGATTCAGGAGGTCTAGGACTATTTAAGACTGCCGCAAGCCACGCGCACCAGCCCCGCGGCGTACTGGGCGGCTTGGGCCGATGCCTTCACAGTGCTCCGCAAACGGTGCCCGGCCTTGGGTCCGCTGCCTCGCTGACGCGCGCGGCCCCGCAGGCCTTCGGACAGCTTCTGTGAGTTGGGGGTTGCTTGCAGCCCACCGGTCCGTGGGTATGGCTGTAAGCCACACGGCGGCTTGTGGCGGTAGGACAGCAACAGTGCCTGGTGAGCCGGCCCAAGGGTGGGCCAGCAGGACCAAAGGGTGCGCAAAAAATGCACCGGAATGTTTTTTTTCTTGTTGGACGGCCACATAGCGCTCGGGCGTGCTAGGGCCATGCCGGGACCGGCGCATACCGATGTGCCGGCCTTGGATGTGGTCTTGGACTTGGCCGGGCCGGACGGGCTGAGCCGCCTGCCGCTGCGATGAGTCGGCCCTGATAGGGGACCGACTTTTTTCTGTGCTTCTTGGAGCCGGACACAGCTGCTGGCGGAAGAAGGTGTATGAAGAAAATCTTTTCTTTTGGAATTGAAAGCGGCTTGCTTTGCGATTTTGCGGGGACAAGGGGTGTGAGCGAGATGCAGTTTTTTTCCTTCGATACGAACTTTCCAGGGCGGCAAAAACTTTCGGACGCGACGCCCGCATCTTTGTTGCTGTCACAAGCTCGCTTTTCCGAGCTCGTGCCATCAACCGTGGCACGAGCTCGGCAACGAAGTCGTCCGCAACGCTTCGTCGCTGACATGAATTTTAGCTTTCTGGTTGCTGATGGTTGCGCATTGAGGCAGTCGCGGACGGCTACCCTCTGAGGCACCAGAGGAAGCCCATCTCGTGTTTGATATTGTTTGATGCCACTTTGGGACCTTGCACTGCGTCAGTTCCTGTCCCGTGGCCAGTCCCCCAATTTTGAGCGGTGTCCTGATGACGAGCCGCCGTCGACATTGTAGGTAGGACTCCACGACTTCAGTAACCCTGGCAGGCCACCATTGCACGATCCTGGCTCCGGCCCATGCGTTCTAAGAATCATTTCCGGCGCCTATTCGATTGCTCGCCCAGCGGTTGAGCATGTCAAACTAACTGTATACTTCAACGTTCGTGTGCATGTCGTGTGAGTTTGCTTTCGACCGGGACCGCAACAACGTTTTGGAGCAGCCGCATGTTTCGTCGGGGGGATTCAGGGGTGTTTCGTTCTTTGCATAAGGTTACATGGGCGTAGCAGAGATGCGTGCCGAGGGTGTGCCGCAGCTGATTATGCTCCACACATTTTTGTATTGAGGAAGCATCATGGCTGAAACGAAGACGGAGGCACTTTGCTCTTTGCACTTTGCCCGTTCGAGTCACGAAGACTACGGTCCTTCCATGACAAGGGAACGGTGGGGTGTCTTATTAATCGTGTGAAGCCATCGCGAACTGTACAAAATCATTTCGCATTGAAGGCCGAAGACGGAGGCCGGCAATTGGTTTAATTTGGTGGGTTTTCAAAAGTGCACACCGGCCTACCGGAATGACATCGTGCCGTGACTGGTTAATGTTTTGTATTGTTTCGTGATATTTGTATGGCCGATCTCGAAGGAGCAAAACATGAGAAAAGCTATAAGGCAAGGTGCAGTGACAAAGATGACAACACAGCACTATGACACATCCAGAAAGTTAAACGATTGAACGTTGTGGTGCTTGACACCGGTGACTAACTCATACTGGCCTGAATTGTCGCTGTGTTTTTTCCTTGTTTTCCCTCATTGAACGGGAACTATTCAGCCCTATGGTGTAGTGTAGAGAAGCCGTGTTTGGAGGGGCCAATAACAGGGGGTGTCAGGCTTAATAAGACGACTCGCATGTCCAAGTTTCGACACCTCACTTCATGTGAACTTGGTGGATCAACCGCTAGTGTGATGTCAGGTGAAGCCTGTGGGTGGTTGCTGCAAACAGCAGTTCCCGGATGACCTCCCGCCGATGTTGGTGGGCATCATGTCGGCAGAGGCGGAAGTGTGTGGTGGACGAACGCATTGTTTGCGCGGGTTGTTTGAACAAAGGCTGCAGGCGATGTCGTGAAGAGAGGCACCAACCTTGCCAACTTGCCAGTAGCGATCGTTCAACGAGTGGCAACATAACGTCTTGATAAGCCACACTGGCCTGCAGCGGAAGTCGTGCTTGTACCTCCATTACTGTCATGCCCACAGGTGCTTAATTGCTGTGCAGCTCGGACTACTTGTGGCTAACACTACTACGCGTGCTACTGTCGCTACTGCTGCCGCAATCACTGCTGTTGAATTTATTGTTATGGCTGCTCCTGCTACTGTCTCTGCTCCTGCTACTGTCTCTGCTGCTGCTGCTTCTGCTGCTGCTGCTGTTGCTTCTGCTGCTGCTACTGCTACTGCCCGTGCTAATGCTAGTGCTTCAGCTACTGTTACGGCCACCATTAGCTGTTGAATGTCACGGTTGGTAGGAGTTGTCGTAGCTATTCCAAAGCACATGCGCTAGACTGGTAAGCAATCCGAATTCACGTGTTGGATTTGCCAAAACAGTCTTCGTGTCACTGACTGTAGATGATTGCAGTATCATCGCAACATTGTGCTCCAATTGGACCGGTCGTTGCACGAATTTGTTATTCTAGACTCACACAGAAAAGTTGAGCCTCATTACGAAACGTAGTCCTGAAATCCAAAACTTTATCGTCGTTTGCAGCTTGTGTTTGTGCCAAGCCCTGGAACGGGAGGTGCCCTAAACCCTAAACGTGAATCCTCCGACAGAAAGTGGGGAAGCGGCGTTTCTCTGGCAAGGCTTATGCTCGAGTCATGGCCGACGTCACCAAGGGCCACCGTTCCTACTGGACCCCGGACACCGTGATACTCATGCTGCTCGGCTACATGTGACTTTTACTCAACCGGTGACAGAGGGATTTCTTTTCACGGGTTCAACAAGCTTAGGCAATGTCAGAAGTTGTTGAAACGAAGTGGTAGTGTGTCGCACCTGAACCAACTTGGAATTCATGTAACATGTAGCTTGTCTTCGAAGCCCCCATGCAAGACATAGCCTTTAATCCCGGAGCAGGAAAAGCACACAGTTTTAATTTTTCCAGCCTTTTTAAGGGCGGTGTCGGACAGTACTCCGTTCAGTTTCTTGCGTTGTACACTTAGAGTTAGTATGCGTTTAGACACACCGCGAACTGCCTTGTGGTTTAGTGGGGTCCAATGGACAACCGCCACCTGAAGCGCAAGCTTTGCTGTGTCACTTCAATGTTTGCCTGTCAAAAGCAGCCTTCAGAGAAAGCCTCGCAACATAGCCATGGGTAGCAAACAAAGAACCACTGCAGGCTCCTCACTGCTGGTCTCTACTTGGCCTGCAAGAACTGTGTCCACTGCAAGAGCCTTTGCCATGAACGAAGAATTTGTTTGGTTTTGGTGCTGTGGTGCCTCATCAGGCTTTAGGCCCATGCTTTTAACAGCGGTTGCGGGTTGCGGGTCAAGGGTGTGATGTTGTTTGTTGTTCCTCTAGCTCCGTTTTTCACCACCCATCCGGCAGCAACAGTACACTAAATCCCGCTACGAAGATTATATTCATTATATCATTCAATCAGTCACCACATCCCTAGACATCCCAAGACAAAGGACAGCATCATTGTATTCCTGAACAAGGGGCCAAGGCTTCAAGAATAAAGTTTTTCTGGTTTCCTGACAGTAAAGAAGAAGGAGGATGAGCAGACCCTAGCTGGGTTTTTCAGGCCCAGCATCTCTCACAGACCTGGCTCCACCGTGCTTTTCCGGTGCTGGGGCTTGAGTCGAAGCTGAGATCGGACCGGCCGTGTGCTGTGATGTCACTGTAGGCTTAAGCCGGATGTTTTTTGCAGCATGTATCGCTGATAAAGACGACGCAGAAACTAGTTCCATGTTGGATTAATATAAGCAGTCTGGCCTTGCTTTCCAAGAAGTTAGGAAGATGAACAAGATGCTCGAGCAGCACCAGGACATGCAGCAAGCAGTGGGATTCAAAACTTGGACATTCCATGACATCGATAGCAGTGAAGGCAAGCTTCACAGTTGTGGTATTTGCAACAGTTGCAACCCTAGCAACGGAAGCTTATCAGGCGGCACTGGCGGAGGGTTTGAGGCGTAGCAGGAGATCAGGAAAGGAGGAGCAGGGTTGCAACACGAACAAACATAGCAATAACAGAGGGTGGGAGGAGGAGGAGTAGGAAAGGACGGCTCCGCAACGGGACGGTACCTTCCGTCGTAAGTGGTCAGTACTTCATGGGAGTGGGATACCACCCCCAGCCGCCAGGACATTCCTCATGATCGCGTGAAGATGGAGTACAAGCATGTCGGCACTGGTGAAAGCGGTGGCGAAGAGGCCGCAGTCGTGTTTCCCAGAAGCCAATCTTCGAGCATGCAACCGAAATCAAGCTTCAGCCTGTATGCCATAAATCTAAAAGAGCCTGATCTGCAAGTCCTAAGCCCCCAGCCCCGATACCAAGCCCGAAGCCAAACCATGCCTTGCAGAACAGTGCTTCCAGGTTTTGTATATTACCCTACTGCCCGTCGGGCAAGCCCTTGGGCAAGTGAGCTGATGGAGTGCGGTAAGAGCTGTCGCTGTGGAGCTGTGCTGCGTGCCACGTGCAGCAAGGATGAGCATTCAGCACTAGCTACAGACATGATTGCAGGAAGAAGGAGAACCGTCGGCAGATTGTCGAAATGCTGTGAACAGCAGCAAGCCAAGCCTTGGAATAAGCGAAGTTCAGCACCAGCTCTTGCTGTTGCGGTCTTCCTTGTGGATTACAGGCACAGTCTCGCGTTGGCGTGGTGCAAGTTTGGATCAGAGCCACATCGCTGCTTTGCCACGGCGAACGTTTTGAGGCCAACCGGGCTTCGTGGCTTTGGTCCTAAGTTTCCTGGAGTTCCGGTGGCCAAAAACGGTCGAAGGAAACTCCTTGTTTTACAAAATGTTCCAAGGGTTTAGAGGTCTGAGGAATAGGTCAGAGCTACTACATCACGATTACGCATGCACATAGGATCACATAGGGGCTCGCATGCTGCAGGGTCGGTTCCTCTTTTATGAAATGGCCTTCCTCCAAGATGCCATCCTGGCAATCCCGAATCGCTTTCCGAACTCGAAACTGTCAGAAGCCCTTAGCCTTAAACTCTGCACCCTACATCCCAAATCTGTTAAAGATGCTAAATGGAGGAGAGCCGGGGACTCTTCTTGAAAGGAAGGCTGAACCGAGGAAAAGCTCTTTGCTCCTTTTTCAAGCGTGCCGTCTCCGGCGCCTCATGTTCTCCAGGCCCAGTCGGTTTAAACTTAGGGCCCCAAGCAAAGGTTGTGAATGTAATTTGGAAGAGCTTGTCCTCAACCGGAAGATGTTGCCAAAGTAGTGGCCGCTGTAATGGTTTAAGCACTAGGTAAGAAAGCTTTTGTGATCTGGGGGCGGAGGGTTCGGTACACATGCCGCACGATGATCGGCTGACCTGAAACAGGCGTGCCTTCGTGCGGTTGGCATCATTCACCTGCTCACTGCTTCGGGCTTACAACTTTCCCAAGGGCCCCATGACCACAACCCTGAATCCTCAAACCTGCAGTTCAAGCTCCACCCAAAACCCTTTCCCAACTCTCGACATGCCAGTCCGACAGCGCGCAGGCTTCAACGGATTCCCTTTGACAAATTTGGGCCAGAATGCCTAAGCACAACGAGCTAGGAGCTGCGTTTCAGAACATTGAGCTCAAAAGACCGACGGCGATTTCACTTTCCTGGCAGGATGTGTCCTTGAACAGCTGTCGCTCTGATACGTTCTGATCAGCGGTTGCGGTGGGTATGGCTAGCCGACGAAAGCACACAGTCACATGTGGGACTGCAGGCCATCAAGGCGAGATTTTGTTGCGTTTCTGCATGACCCAGCCACAACTTAGCCACAGCAGCAGCGACAGCGACTGCAGCAACAACAATAGCAACAGCAGCAGCAGCCGCAGCAGCAGCAGGAGCAGCAAAAATGACAAGAAAGAATACTGTAGCTGCCGCTGCTGCTTCTACTACAACTGCCGGCGACGACGGCCTGCGACTGCGACTGCGACCGCTACTGCTACGGCTACTGCTACTTCTTCTGCTACTGCTACTGCTTCTACTATGACGGTTACGACTCTACGGTTACGACATCGACGACGATCGATGACGAGGACGACGACGACTACTACGACTCAGCATGCCACTACCACCAATGCTCTGCTTTCTGCTGGCATTTTGCACTTCGCACTTCGTCGCAGCAACGGCAACAAGTCTAGGTAGAATTCCGAAATGGAGAGAAAAGAACCTGAACGATTGCCAGCATCAACAGCAGCAGCAGTATGGACAAACATGACACATGCGTACACATGTGCAGTTGAAGCCTACTTGGTACCATGATTGGAGATATTGCTATCGGACCAGCTACGGAGGATGTCTTCTGCGTCCGGTTGATACCGAATGATGAGCACAACTCCTGTCCATCTGAGTGTGCTCCTGCCGCTGTGGCTGTCGCTGTGGCTGCCGCTGCTGTTGTTGTTACCATTGTTTATGCTATGGTCCATGATTCATTTGTCGTCTTCTCTTTCGTTTCGTACCATTTCCGTGGCGATGTTATGGGTAATGGTGCTACTGAGGGTGGTGATGATATGTTCCCCGAATCCGCTACCATTTTGGTTTCTTTTGGATTCGTTCCTGCGGTAGTATTGCCCTGTATGCTTTCAACTTTGATTTTGTATTCATTGTATTTGTTTGTATTGCGTATTTTATCCTTGCTGGTAGGTCCCTAGTCTTTTATATGAGCAGAGGCCTGTACTATTTCGTGCCATATAGGGTGTGCTGTCAGCGTGGATGAATTCATGTTGTGCCGCCGCCCTGCCTCAGAGTACTACGGAGAACCGCATCAACAGCATGTTTGTGACTGTTGATGTTGCGTGGCTTTGTCCCTATCCATATGCCTCATGGCTTTGCCAAAGCAGAGCCGCTTGACCCCCTCACCTCGACACAGACCTGCCAGAAGTTAGCCTTTCCGATGTATTCAGACACAGATCGTTTAGCTCTTGAACTGCTATGCTCGACGTGTCACCGGCCGATGGGGCTGTCACGGCCTGCCAGTCAGGGCTGTTCACGCTCGATCGGCCGTGTGCCAGTTTCAGGCCGGGAGTCCTGGATTTCTGTCCACATCGGGACTATGTTTCTTTTGGGTACCATCCATTGGATCCACATTTTCGCAGTCTGGCCGCTTCAAGATGAATATGGTGCGTGGTCCTCTGATGCTGTCCTCATGGTGGTGACGCGTTAAGCACAGGGTTGAGGGCTATGTGGTCGGTCGTAGGTGGGGTCCGCGTACAAGATGTTATCAGGGTGTATGGCAGTGTGTTGCTTAAAGCTGAGTGTTGTTTTCGAGAACCCAGCCAGCTTGGCAGACCCAGGGTCAAGCAAGTTTTTCCATAATTTGAGTCGAAGCGCGCCGCACTTGCACAATGTTGCCTCTGAAACTCCCTTCATCCTTCCGTTGAACTTGAATCCATGATTGCGTTGGTCAGACAACTGTCGGTTCACGCCTTGGGGTCCCTTCTTTCAGCATCCCCGGCCATCTCCTTCAAAAGCTTTCACGCCGGCTGTAGATCGTGTTCCTGCATCCGAAGCCTTAACCTGAAACCAAAGCAAAGGTCAGCCTTCAACACGGAAGCCGCGGTGTAAACCGTGAACTCAAAGGCCTCCCCTCCCCGCCCCACCCTAAACCCTAAAACCGAAAGCCCAGCACAGCTGGGGGGTGACAAACACACCGAAAGCCCGCAGGAGGCAAAAAACCCGTCAGCTGCGAACTACGGGTTAGCATCCCTAGCATGATTAATACTGCTGCTAGCCGTACTATTCGCACTTTGCATATGAGTATTTTACAGTAGTAGCAGATTTCGTTGTTCGGGTTATCATCATTAGGTTTTTTTTTATTATTGTTAATGCTACTATTATTATGGCTATTATTATTATTATTATTGATACTCTTGATATTCTTCAAGAAAGCTTCACAGGCACCGTCTATAGACCTGCTTCTGCGGCCAGCTTGGAACCCTGGAGTTTGCAGGAGCTCGGCCGCTTAAGCCCTCTCCAGCCCAAATAGGGTTCAGGGTGTGTTAGGGTGCGGGGTCTAGGGTTTCTTTGGAGACCAGATGCGAAAATGCGAAAGGGTTTCTGGAGGTGGGGGTGTTTAGGGGTTCATGAGACATTGGGCACACTATCCGTCTCATGGAGCTTCAATGCTTTGCAGAGAAGCTCAAGGGCTGGCACCACCGTAGTTATGCTAGCTAAAGCCACAAGCCGTGCGTGAGCTCAGCAGCTGAGATCCAGCTTATGAGTGGCAAGTTTGTGGTATTATAGTAATACTAATAATAATACTAATAATAATATTAATACTAACAATAATATTAATAGTAATATTAATATTGAATCAAATGCTTCCACTGCAACCTGAGCTATGCAGCAGTTTCGCTTCACACTTTTGCGACATACAGTTTCTGCCGCATGTGCAGCGCCCCCCTTTTTGCATACACAGCTGAAGCGAGGAGGCATTGTCTTCGGAAAGCCGTTGGTATAGTTGTCGTCTCGACAGCAACACGACTTGCGCAAACTGTCCCATGATTCCGAAGCAGGGGGTTGTGGATGTGGACGCATAGTACTAGTACCTACGCTGTCAAGCCCTTGACCGTCATGGGACTTGGCAATGTCACAGTCTCACTCGCAAACCCCCCGCCGAAATCGTGAATTCCCGACATGCCAAAGCTTTTACAAGCTAACCTTACCAACCGACCCGCACTTGGACCCTTGGCCTGCCATGCACAAGCCAAAACCCATCCCGAAGCCCCAAAAAGACGCGGTCCTTCCTGACCTCAAACCTTACGTAAGGCTTGAACTGTGCAGGATCGGGCGACCACACCCAAGGATGGCTCGACCGTGCCTAGATGTGGGAGTTTCCGATATTAGGGGACCCTAATGTAGTACCCCAAATAGTAGGATCCTTATTTTAAGGACCCCCAAATAAGGTTTCCCTTAATTTTCGGAAACACCCATTTGCAATCAAAGCTTGCGGCTGCAGGGTTGAGAGATGTAGGGAGTATCTTTAGCAGCGCACAGTTCCCCATCAACTTTTTCCGTTGCCCCCTTCTTGAAACTGGAAGTGCCAAAGTTGACTGCTTCGGAGCTGTCTTGTTGCAAGTTGTTCTTTTCTTCTGTTACGGCCTGACGGCTTGGCAATGTCGCCTAAACCCTAAACCCCAATAAGGCCCCAAGCCGTGTCGCAATTGTGAAAGTCGAAACTCTCACAGCTTCTAGTGCAGACCAGCCAAAGTACCTGCGGAGACCGCGACCTCGTCAGGCATGTCCGTGTTGCGAGAGCGTAAAGCCCAAAACCCTCGACTCCCTCGACTCCCCATGACGTGGATGTTGGGTACGGCCCCCATTCAGTAACAATTGGATAATTATCATAATATAGATATACAAGGCCGTTAATGATAGCCCTATTATAGACTGTTAGTGTATGGGGGCTGTACCCACGACCTGGATGTCCTCCTCCCGAGGTCGTGGAGTTGCCAACTCCCGCGAAGTCGCCAGCAAGCTTGGCAAAATTTGCTAGGGAACGACAGAGGACTGGTTTAGGGTTTGGTTTAGGGGTTTAGGGTTTAGGGTTTAGGGCTTGTATTGTTCAAGAATGTAACAAGGTTAAGTCCTAACTGCGAGAGGCAACTTGCTCCATTTCGAGGGACCGCCGATGTTCAAGCCCTTCAAGCCCTAAGCTAAAGCTTAAAACTTAATTCTGCCAAGCCTGCACTAGCCACAGCAGCCACTGGCCGAAACACCTACTCCACAGCCTGGGCTCCCTCTCTGTCTCTCTCTCTCTCTCTCTCTCTCTCTCTCTCTCTCTCTCTGCCTCAAGAGCGCCGTGCAGGAGCATTGGCATCGGAAGCTTGATTGAGAGCTACCGTGGTCAAAGCTTCTTCCTCAAAGATCGGTGTGAGATGCCATAAGACTGCCTGTGTGTCAAGATGTTGTCACAGGTAGATGCCATGTTCCTTGCTCAGTCAGTCGTGCTTGGTTGGAAGAGTGGCTCATGGTTTAGTGCAAATCTGTAGGCTTCGGGATGTCTGCTTAGGGCTTTTGATCCCTTAACCCTGACCGTTTGAATCCTAACCGGTCCTACACCTAAAACCACGACGTCAAGGTTTTGCCACAGTGGACACGCCGAAGGCGCGCTTCCTGCCGAAGGTTTCGAGGTCATGATGGGCTTCTTGTGGAGGGTTGCCACACCATTGCACCATGGCTTGTGTCGATTCTTCCGTGTGAGCTCAACCTTTTCCGAATCTCCATGCGGCCGGAAAAAAGGTTGAGCTTGCAATTGCTGCTTGACTCCTGGGCTTCCTTCTGCTGGACGACTTGAAACGATTGTGTTTCCTACGCTGCTGTACGGGCATGTCGGGACGTTGAGACGCTTTGAGGGTTTCAGTCAGGCTAGGTCTTCTCGATTCACCCCAAACCCGAAGCTGTCGTTACCCAGGGTCCTTGGTCTTTGAAAGTTCCTTGGGGGTACTCGTTCTCGTGCGGCACCAGAAACCTGAATCGAGCCAGGCATCCTCGCTGCCGACATTCAGAAGCCAAACCCTAAACCCATGTCCATGACCGTCCTAGCCTCCAAACGAAAAGCCAAAATCGGAGGTCCCAAACCATTGTTTCTGTCGCCCCCTATGGAACGAGGCGCACGTCCAGGGCAAGACCTCCCCACGAGCAGAAGCTTGTCTGCAAAGTCGGAATTTAAAGCTCTAGCGCTTGAAGAATGCTGATGTTTGGCGGCCAGAGTGCGAACGATGGTAGTTCACACTTTGTTGCGTTGATGGCTACCATCCGCTTTGAATCTATGGTTTAGAGTGGGCAGGGAAGGCATTGCCGATTTTTTGAATCGTGGCCGTACATGATTGAAATCCGCGCCTCTGCTTCTCCTTGGCTGCTGCATAGCGATGCGTTGCAGTTTGGGCTCAAGAGTCGCGGGTGGGAGAAAAAGATTAGCCGGCTTCAAAGAATCCACCTCCAAGCCATGTCCAAGAAGTCCCCGGGAGATTTCATCAAGCAGGCTCCGAAGCCAATGTCCAAACCCAGGATCCCGAACGCGTTTCCATAAACCGGGCACTTTTGAGGGATGTTCTTGTTCGTTTGTTACGCTGAGTCTTCCCATCAGCACTGCACTGCACCACCACCACCACCACCACCACCACCACCACCACCACCACCACCACCACCACCACCACCACCACCACCACCACCACCCCCACCAACACCACCACCACCACCACCACCACCACCACCACCACCACCACCACCACCACCACCACCACCACCACCACCACCACCACCACCACCACCACCACCACCACCACCACCACCACCACCACCCCCACCAGCAGCACCAGCACCAGCACCGTCACCGGCACCGGCACGATACCACCTCCACGACGCTGACGACGACGACGTCGTCACTGTTCTGGACGACAACGACGACGGTGGCTAGTGGTGGTGGTGGTAGTGGTGCCGGTGGTGGTGGTGGTGGTGGTGGTGGTGGTGGTGGTGGTAGTAGTAGCAGTAGGAAGTGTTAGTGTGAGTGTTAGTGTTAGTGGTAGTGGTAGCAGCAGAAGAGGCAGCAGCAGCAGCACCAGCAGCAACATAAGCAGTAGCAATAGCAGCAGGAGCAGGTGCGGGCGCAGGCGCTGGAGCCGCAGCAGGGTCAGGACGTAGCAGCGGCGGTGGCAGTAGTGACGGTAGTGGCAGCAGTAGTGTAGCGGTAGCAGCAGTCGTGGTCGTGGCATTTGTGGTATTGGTACTCGTGGTAGCCCCGAAACCCTAAACCCCTGTAGAGCCCTCAGGGTATAAACCTTGTAGTAGCCCTCATAGAAGCCTCATAAGGGAATTTCCGAAAGTTAGGGGTACATTTCGGGGACCTTATAATAAGGATTAATAAGGATCCTATTATTTACGGTACTATGTAAGGGTCCCCCATTTTCGGGAACTCCCAAAAGCCTTAAGCAACAGAGCAGGTCTTGGGCCGCCCCGTCATCGTGAAGCTGAACAATGGCGCAGACTACCGTGGGATCCTTGCCTGCCTTGACGGCCCCGTGGACCTGTTTTGCATATTTTGGCTTTCGCTTTGACAGGGTTGCTGAGGTGTGAGTCACGGTTTTGAGAACTTGGGCAAAATTTTGGGAAGGCAGGCGCCAGCTTGAAAGCCGTGATGGGCCAGGGTAGATCGGCCGTTATCGCAGGTCCTCCTGTTCAGGGATCTGTTGTTTCTCGCTACCTCAACATGGAGTCTCCCACAACGGAGAAGTACAACAGCTCCTAGCTTCTTGGGTAATGCGAACCCAAACACGTTGAAGCAACTACACAAAAAGCAACCGCAGGGATCCTCTCGTCTCCATGCCGAAAGTAAACGTCGGGTTGTTCCGGTGTCGACTCGCGATTGCCGAACATGAGGTTGCTTAGGGTTTGACGGTTCAGGGTTTATCCGGAAAGATCAGGCTACATGAACCTCGCCATGGAGCAGACAGAGGAGTATGTGGACGGTCAGCTCAAGCACAAGTACGGCGACACCTTCATCCGCGGAAACAACGTTTTGTACATCAGTGCGCAGCCGAGGACCAAGTGAGGAGATGGGCACGACTTGTAGAGGTGCAAAAGGTCTCTCACCATCCAGGACTTAATGTAAGGTGGTTGTTCATCATGATGGATACTTTCTTTGGTTCCTATATGATGGAAGAGGTCTTTTAGGTCCGGATAGCGAAAGCGCGAGGATGCAGCATATGAAAAAGAGTGGGCTTGCCTCGACTTCATGGCTTTCTGCCTTGCTCATGTCATCCGAGATTGCAGTCGCAGATGCTGCTGCTCTTAATGGCTCTATCACTATTGGCATTATTCGTGCTTATGACATGACTACTGCCAGTATTCGTAATTATTAAGCGGTCGTTGCAATTCTTATTCCTCTTCTTTTTGGCCCCCTGGGGTCTGCTGGGGGCGATCTGAGGATTTGGCAGGCCATGCCAACGCATTTGTTGACACAGGCCGGGCTTCTTCGAACCCGGCTAAAATGCAAACTGCCGCTCATAAGCCTTGGCTAAGGGTCACGGATTTGAGGGAGTTTCCGAAATGAGGGGTACCGTATTTTGGGGTCCTTATACTAAGGTTCCTACTATGTAGGATACTATATTAAGGTCCCCTATTTTCGAAAACTCACATTTCCGCGAAGCATGGCACCCTAAACCGCCGAACCTGAAACCGAGGCTTCAGTTGCATGCCTCAATCAGCTACATGGGTGCGGAGCCGGAACAACATGATCAAGCACTGTTTCAAAGGAATTCTCTGCAAGAACCATCCTCAGACCCTTTACAGGAACCGGTTACAGGAATCCTTAGAGATTCGCAGGCTCCGTGGAAGGCCTTTAGAGGAATCGACGCCCTGGCAGGCCGTGCCCTCACGCCACTGTCTGATTTGGGCAGCACCAAAGGAAGCCTAGGCTCGGAGTCTGTTCGGCGCCCTGCCTTCTCAGGGGGTTAGGGTGTTTTAAGGCTTCCCATGCTGAAAGGGGTTTAGGGCTGGACTTCAAGAGGCCTGGATGCAAAAAGGGCTGAAAGGCTTATGGCAGGCTTTGGGCTACAATCAGGTTAGAGCGTATGGCTTAAGGGAGTGGCAGCGGGAGTTTCAACCAAACAGCAGTGTTTCCGAAGTCTAGCTATGCAAGCAACCATATGCCGCCACGACGTTTTGTTCTCGCTTATCCAGCAGCCGAGGAGCATGTGGCAGAAGTCGCACCCTGCCTGCACAGCTTTGACTCCAAGTGAATTGGGTGTGGGTAACTGTTAGCAGAATGGGCACTCACCGGTGTTTCATCTGCAACTTACCGTTCTTATCATCGGCTATCTCGGTGCTTAATTTCCTATTGAGCCTGACCAAGATCACACACAAGCGTTCTCCGAAGAAATGCTAGGCTTGCCTCGTTCTAGCATTGCTAGTGCGAGGGTCAGCAGTCTTGCACTGGCTATGTTAAGTTCTGCCCGCTACACCCTAAACCCTAAACCCTACGTCGTCCTTCCGAAGCAAAACAAGCTGCAAGCTTTCCGCCGCTTTGAGGCAAAAGCCAAGCCGGGCTGGAAGCAAGAAGCCGCCCTGGTTGCAGAAGTCCACCTTCGGAGGTGCCAAAGAACCCCGCCCCTTTTCTCTTCGATTTAGGGCTTAGAGTTTGGGGGTGTTTAGTTGCGGGGTTGTACAAGGTTTCGGAAGGGCTTGATAGGTTTCAATCAGGTTAGGTTGTCGGGGTTTGCGGGTCTTTTTTTGCTGTTCTGGTTTGAGCTCCCTAGTATGCGAGAAGGGGCCGCACAAAGGATAGGTTTGTCCTTCTGACGCCTTCTTCAGAGGGCGCTTTTTTTTGTTTGGGAGTTTCCGAAAATAGGGGACCCTAATATAGTACCCTAAATAGTTAAATAGTAGGATCCTTATTTCAAAGGACCCCAAAACAAGGTACCCGTCATTTTCGGAAACTCCCATTTCTCTTGCGGCCAGGGCGCCCCTTCGATCCATCTGGGATGGGCCGCGATCAGTTGATGCAGGCCGAGCTGAGAGAAGTTCGGTGCAAACGGTCGAGGTTGTGTTCGAGGCTAAGATGTCTAGGAGCCGCAAAAAATGTCTAGGAGACACAAAATTCTAGATATTTTGGGGGGCATATTTAGTGTAGGAGCGAAGCAGCATGCATCTTCTTATTGGCCCTGGGCCAGTTATGCCGCTTCTGTCAGGAGCATTAGAAAAGGCTGCGGGCTCGTGCAAGCATTCCATGATAGTTGGCTTGCCGTATCTTGAAGGTCGAGCCCATGCAGTTTAGAGCTTGTTGCCATTCCGCAGCGTCTCACTACAACATTGTTTGGAATGTTATCACTCGCGAAAAATGTGCCGAAGATGTAGTGCTTCAAACTGAGTATTTTTGCTCTTCCCGTGTTGGCCGGGGTCGTTGCAGCACACCATAGTAGACATTGTGTACATTTGATGTGGTGTTTGTTTGTCGGATCACTGTTTTGCTCATCTTTGCAGGCGGTCGCTAATGCTGCGCCATAGTGGAGCAACCGTAGCTAACACTGCCATCTTGTTACTACCGACGGTTTCTGTGGCAGGACCACCTCCCCTTGTGATGCTCTACAATGGGCATTTTAAGATTGAGGGTTATTGGATTAACGGTGCGGGATTCCAGTGTCGCAGAAACCCCTGACCTCAGAAAGCCTCTGTGCAGGAAGCCATCTCGAACCGAAGAAAGCTCAAAGCGAACGAGTCGGATGTGCTTTTCAAGAAGGTGGCTGGTTGAGAGATTGCAACTTCTCGTAAGTGATAAGTGTGAGTACTATGCCCACGACCTGTAAGCACAAGAACCGTAAACCGTGCTGTCCAGGTTTGTTAGATTTCTGCGAATTTCTAGAAGGGGCTTTCTCAAGGCTGCTTGTTATTGGTGCAATGTCATGGGATGGTAGTTCGTGTGCTTATGTAATGGGTTGAACAAGTCTTTGTTGGATCATTCGAGATCTATGACATTGATTCCGTCGTCGTCGTCGTGCTTGTTCTTCCTGTGGTCGTCGTCGTCGCCCTCTTCCTCCTCGTCGAAGTCGTGCTTCGTCTTCTGCTTCTTGTCGTTGTCGTGGTTATGGTCGTCGTCGTTGTCATCGTCGATGACAATGTTGTGGGTGGTGTTGGTCAAGCCTATGTGACGTATTTTTTTCCATAGTTTGCCCTCGTCGGCAGGCAAATGCCGCTCGAGCACTTGCTTTGGATCGACAAAGGGCCGAAGAGAAGCGGAAAGAGCAGAAGGACTGCGTGGTGTGACTTTTTGGTTTGGCCCCTTCATTCAGGACACAGTGGCTTTGGCTTCAGGATATCATGCGGGTTTTGGGTTGAGGGTTGCTCCAGGGATCACAACACCTCATCAAGCTCTTGGCAGGAGTCCCTGCAGGATCTCAATGCGAGACGACGGTTGGATGTCGAGAGGCCGCAAACAAACCTCGGCGATTTTAGATCTCTGAGTTTGGCCTAACTTGGGGTGCGACATTTCTTGGCTTTTGCCAGCATTTCAGAAATTTTCAGAACGGATGCACCCGACAATACTTACAGATCCAGACGACATGTGCACGTGGCCGCTCTTCCCTTCACACCGTTTCGCTTTCACCCCAGCTTTTTCGGTGCGCCCTGGACATGTGGTAAATCCAGGAGGGCCCTAAACAAAACCCCTTAACGGTATAAGGTGCCAGGAACGTAGGTAAACGAAGAGGCAGCTGGTTCGGATCTTCACGCCGATCCCGCGCCCGCACGAGCACCTGCCGGTCTACTGCCAGCGGTTGAACGTCGGGGGCTTAAGGGTGCGAACCCGAGGGTTGAGGGTTATTCCCGACAGTCGGAAAGAGGGAACAAGAAGAGCATCAAGCATCACGTATGCAGTTGCAGAAACAGCATCAGCAACCGCAGCAAGAACAACCTCATGTAATGGCAGCAAGAGTAAGGCGGGCAGAGAGTCTCAGGTGTATTCGGGGGTGCGTGGTTTTCGGTCCCAGAGCTTCGGTTGATACGAGCCGCAGCTGGTGAACCCACGTGGAAGAGGCGAGCCGGCAATTGCGGCACTCATGGAAAGTACTGGCATCAGACAACAGTAGCAGTAGCCATAGTAATACGTTCCGTATAGCAGCATGATGAGCGCCATGATGGCGTTGAAGGCAATCGGAGTAGCATTAATTGTGATGGCGACTGCTAGATGCAGGTAGCAGTCCGTTAAAAGGGAGCCTTATCATGGCAGAAGCAGCAAGAGCACGGTGCGCACAGCAATAGCCACCGGCAGCAAAACAACTAGGGGCAGCCAAAGCGCGGCATAAGGCAAGTCGCCGTAGCAACCTCTCAACAGCAACCAGAGCATGAGTGACAGCAACAACGATAGCAACAAAGCCACTCTGGACGGAAATATCGGCTAGAGTCGAAACTTGAAACAGTAGCTTTACCGACTTCAAACATCACCCTGAATCATGCGCGTCGCTTGACCCAAAAACCGACAAGTCGGGAGGCGTAGATCGGCCAAAGCCCTTGAGGTCGATCTGACCGTCACTACCAGGCAGGTGAGGAAGAAGGGCGCGAAGGGGGAGCCGCTGGACGGCAGCTTTGTGATTCAGCAGGTTCGTTTTCCTCTTTGACTGTGGTGCTCCATCTGGCATGTCTATCGTAGCTTGGCACCGTGTCGTCATAGTTGTTCGTGTTGCTGGTTCTGTTACCCTGCGGCTGATCGCGACTTTATTCGAATGGATAGCGGCATGCCGGATTCTTTCCCTACGCAGCAGGTTCTGGCCTAGACATGCGAGAGGCAAAAGCCCGAGCTCTCCGAGCTGTTTCGCGCGCGCAGGATGCCCTGCAACACAATGCGACTTTAACCAGAACCCCGAACTCAAATGTTCGCGCCATGAGACCCCGAAGACCCGAGCCAACTAAGGCCGATTCTTTTTGTCGAGATTGACAGCGTTCATCAGCTCCTCGGCAGCGGCCGAACCCCAGACATCAAAGTATCCCAACCCCGAAAAGATTCTGCAGGACGGTTTGGGGTTTAGGGCTTGGGGTGTAGGGGTCACAAAAGTCGTGAAAAGTTGTAGCTGCAACGCAGGGGACGAGGATAGGTCCTACGGCACGACACAAGCCCAGAAGCTGTGAAGAACTCGCTGTTTTGCTTTTGCACTTGGGACGGGTGGTTCATGCCTCAATTCGGGATGAGTGGCCTGTAATCTTGAACCCTAGACCCAAACCTATAGTATTTATACCCTAAGCCCGAAGTAGCATGCCGAACCTGATTTCAAGAAGAGAACGATTCTGTTCAGACCTGGCCGGGTCTACCTTTACTACAGGCGTGGTGAAGCCCACACTGTCCTAGGGTGTGTGATTCGTGCGTGTAGAAAGGCATACAACCACCAGTAAAAGGTTCGTGGCCCTAGAGGTTAAAGGCACCTGGGCCTCAACCCTCACAATGGCAGGCAAACGGCTTAAGTTTAATTATTTTAATTTTGCCCTGCAGCTGAATCGGGGGTCATTGTGTTCCGTGCTGTTCTCGATAGCTGTGTGCCCACCATCAAACACCACCCTTCCGAAACAGGCTGGAAATGCTCCATTTGTGCAACCATTACTCCTCGCTCATGCGACCTTTCGTGCAAGCAGGCCGTTGCAGGGAGGGTTGCGGGCTTTGGGTTTCGGCGCCTCAGTCGCATTGACGGAGTTTTCTCGTTCGGCTTTTGCGCACACTTTGGTGGGATTTCGATGTGCATATTCGGACCGGCGTTTGGGGTCGCCAGCTACGGTTGAACTGCAAAATCCGTGACGTTCGCACGTCTTTCCCCATGGTGCCGTGGAATGCTCCAACTCCGACATGGTCCTGCCCGGAACGTGGAATCTCCATGGTACGCTAGTCGTCTGAGAATCGCCTCGGAGAGGTCCTGGTGACTTTCCAAAAGAAACAAGTACAGTATTGGAATGGCAATTCCCGAGGATGCCTGGCTGAAAAACGACAGTGTCGTGATGGTTTTCGATCGTTTCGCACCCAAAATATTACAAACTTAGCCGCTTTCGGGAAAAGAACTTACTTAGAAGCCAACAGCTGCCGGAACGCTTGGAAGCACCCAGCGAGAAGGCTTCACATGCTAGGTCCTTGCGCAGACCTGGCCGCGTTATGCCACGTTGCGGGCCGTCACGCCGGCAGTCACTAGTCACTGAAAGTGCGAGTCGCCGTTGCCCGCTAGCATGAACGAGGCTTTGATGCCTCCAAGGTTCCAGTCAAAAACGACATTCGAGTAACAACTGGGATGATCTGCAAAAGGCCATTTTGATCAGACATAAGCACCGCATCTCCGCGCAAGAACAGCCGTGCACGGGAAGCCTGCTTGCGGCCGTGGCTGCTGCAGTGCAGACCGTACCAATGCTCTTTACTCTGAGCACCGCATACCGACACTCCCAACTCAAAACCTTGTGGCCACATTGTCCAGATGATCTTGCTTACATGTACACTCAAGGCTTAAACTCTTTTCGCGTCGGTGTAACATGTAGCCGACGACCAACGATGCAGAGGTTCTCTTTTAACCAACGCCCCCCTTACTATCTGCTTCTGCGTTGCAGGCGAGACAGAGATCAGTTCCATCTTGACCCGTCCTGCCTTCTGCAGAGCCCTGCCGAAACTGCGGGTTCAGGGTTTGGCTCATGGTCGAAAGGTTTCACGATGAAGGGGCGAGTGGTAGAAGGGTGCTTGTATTTTGGGAAACTCATCTCATGCGACTTGTCAGCATCAATTCAGACCCTGCGGCCCACTTGACCCTTGCAGCAGCAGTTTCTCTCGAAACAGGCACTGTAAACATACAGTTCCAAGCAAGCAAGCACTGCTACAGGATGAAGTTGGGTGCCTGTTGTCCTTCAGGGTACGGAATGTGGTCTCAGCCCACTGCTTCGGACTTGGGGGCCACCTGAACTGACACATACCCAAGCCAAGGAATGCTCATCGAACTCACCTTCGCTGACACCCATGGTGGAATCATGTACCACACCGCCATCGACATCTTCGACGGTCTAGCAGCCGGGGGCTTTGCAGACTTAGGGGGTCTCTCCAGCGTTAGGCCTACGATGCAGGAACGGGGGGGGGGGGGGGTGCTTCTGCCTGCCGGGCTCCTGAGATTTTGCCAAGGCCTGTGCCTCGAAGCTCGAGAGACCAAATTACATCCGAGCCCGAACTCGCATAGCCGGAGCAGTAAGACTGCTGACATCTCGGCTTGAAGGTGCCACAGTAGGATTGCAGCTTCGGCCTCAAACCCCAACAGCTTCACCAAGAGATGGCCGCTGTGCAGATCAGTGTCTTCCACGACTCGGATGTGCAGAGTCAGGATGGTGCCGAGACCCCGCGTGGACATCGATACGAAAGCCATGCAAACCTCTCGAACCTGAAGCTTGTCTTCGCCGAGCCCGAGCGCGGGCTGCCATCATTGCGCCGAGGCTGGCGCACACCGGACCCCTCGCCGGATCGGACGGGACTCCCGAAGTGCGCCCCCTATGCTGAGTATCTCGAGGAGACCGAGGAGGCTTTGGATGTGCATGGGCGTGGGAGGCCAACGGATGCGCACGCAGCAGTGCGTTTCCAGACCCCATCCCCGGCGCCCCAGGCCGTCCCCGACTTCCGCATGGACTCCTATGTGAAGCATGTCGCACAGGCTTTCCGTGCAAGCTGGGCCGATCAAAGTGAGGACACAGAGGAGACAGAGTCGCCCGTGGAGGTGGAGGCAGAGTCGCCTGCAGATTCCGATCAGAAGCCTTTGCTGTATCCCTTGTGTGCTTCCTTCGGCTCCCGAGGACATCCCTTCTCGTGCAACGCTGCTTGCAAGTATGCGACAAAGGGCAAGGGCTGCAAGGACGGCGCCGATTGTGATCACTGCCACCTCTGCACATGGAAGAAGCCAGTCGCCCAGAATCGCCGCACTCGTCCTGCCGGACGGCCTCGCAAGCCCAGGCAGAACCACGGCGATGCGTGAGGCTAGAAGTGGGCCACACCACATGGGTTTGCACATGCCGAGTTTTGGAAAGGCCCCTTATCGCAGCGGTGGTTGCGGGTTTCGGGATTTGAAGCAATGCAATCTAACACCCACGTATTCTGCTTCTTCGATGTTTGGGCCCCCTTCCAAGTCCCCTTGTGCATGGCTGCTGCCGGGAGAGCTTTCACCCGCTCGTAGCCAAGCAGGATGGATAGACATGTTTGCAGTCTGCTGAAGCTCACCCCGGTTTCTTCCCATCAGCAGTTTCAGTCTGTCAGTGGCGCATCTCTTGCTGGATTTCCAAGAAACGCTCCTCCAGAGATGATATGGTTGCTTTGCATCGTTTGTTTTGTTGGTCTTGTGTGGTGCATGCAGAGACGGCAGCCACTGGGAAACTGAACGCAGCCTGTCCATCGGTAGTGCTCTGGCCCAATGCGGGTCTTGCACAGATAGGTGTGCACAAAGCCTCTTCGGTCCGAGACCTGCAGGAGCGCCCAGACCAAAACACCACACCTTAAGCATGTAGGTTTTCGGATTTAGGGTTTCGGGTTTAGGGGCATGGGAATCATTGGTGCAATGCAATCGGTGGAGTTGTGCTTATTGGTGTGTGGAGCCTATGGTGTCTGCAGCAGTTGGCAGCTACGTGCTTTAAAATTTGCACACGCAAAGGCGAAGCCAGACAGCGAAGGCCCACTCTTTCTGTCAAAAGAACTGGGACCTTTCGGCATAGTTTGTGTGGAGAAGGGTGGTCCTTGCTGTCATTGCACTGCATATGCCAGTGTCTCTCATAGCTGTGGTTTGGAGAGTACGCTGCGCGCTCACCCGTGCAGTCACATGCACAGTGGCACTCCGGGCCCGGAGTCCCTAACATGCACATGTCGTGGTACCTCGCAGAGCTGACGGCTTATTTGGGGCGTCGATTTCTTGCGTCGCTTCCTTTCTTCATGGGCGGTTGGTATCACCGGAGCACATCATCTGAGAGTTTGTGGGTGGACATCCGTACAGGAAGCGCCGAGCCACACAGCTTGAAAGCGGCTGCATCGACTGTCCGTCGACAGTGTGGAGCGCCGTCCGGACTATCGCGTGTAGCTCAGAGCCGATCGGGAGACCTTAAACCTGGGAAAAAACCCTGCCACATATCTTTCTTTCCAACTTAACACCGTGTAGAGTGTAGTGCAGATGTTGTCCTAGCCAGGCGAGAGGCAAAAAAACCCTTCACGCCCCCAAACCCGAGAACTATACACCCATTATATAGCCCATTATAGGGTAGGGGTCCCCATTAAGGGTATGTATTCCGGTAACGCCAAGACTAGACTCTGCAGACATCTGCAGACCCGAGTCCTCGTCTCCCTGTCGGTCGTTTTTCTCGCTGATGTGACGCGTTGAGCTGTTGGAAGACAGCTTAGGAATAGGGGAGCCTCACAAAAATCCAATCCAGGCATTAGCCAGCTGCTGGTCTCATTGGGTGGTTGTAAGGACCCAAAAAAGGACGATAACTTTGACAACCACCTACATGAATCAGTATCAACTTCAACCTGTCACCTCAACTTTCGAGGCTCCCGTTTGTTGCTTTTCTTTTCTTTTCCGGGTGCATCGCCGTTTGAGCCTTGCATCTGCCGCGTGGTTCTCGGGGGGGTCTGGAGGCTCTCTGCCTTTTAGGGTTTAAGGTTGATTTATGGAGTTTTACTTGCTTAAAACCTTGACTCTGAACTCGTATCGAAGAGCATTGCCACCTCGGATGAAGCTGCGCGGCCCACTCGAAGCAGTGATGGCGGCCACATTGCGGTCAACGCGCTGCTCTCGGAAGGCGAATCCACAGTCTGCGACGAATCCCAAAAAACGATAGGGTTTAGGGTTTAGGGTTTAGGGTTAAGGGTTTAGGCTAAAATCCGCGAGCGCGCCCTTGAACAGGCTCCACGCCCGATCCTTGCACCCCTGGAGAGCCGAGGCGCAGCACTCCGTCAAGGGCTCGCCACTGACGGGCGCGCAGCCGGGCAGCAGCAGATATCTTCCGGGGAGGTTCAGGGCTTGGTTTTGGGTTCGGTTCCAAGGCACAAAATTCCTGAACGCTATATTGTATGGCCAAAAGTTTCGAAGGGTCCTGGTTCTCCTATCTTGCCCGAGCCATGAAGCCGACTTGCTGTCACAAGGTTCTTTTGTATGGACTCTCCTCTTATACAGGCTTAGCAAAAACATTCTCCAAGGGTCAGCCTAGGGTTCCTGTAGAGGTTTGGTGTGGGGTTCCCAGAGGGCTCTTGCTAGCCTGTCCGCGGAGGCTCGTCCTCGGCATACCGGTCGACGACCCTCGGCGACAGAAGTGGCCGCACAGGGTTGTTCTAAGCAAGCCGTCTGAAATCGCAAGGCTCTCTCTGGCGCTGGCTTAGTAGCTGAGAGTTAGCTGAGCGAATCACCTTTAACCTTTTTGGGGTTGCGCAGGTATATGATAAAGTCCCAGTGTGGTAGCAAGGTTAAGCTCGTTTAAAGCCGGGATCTCAGCAGCTGGACTCTCTAGGTTTTTTCAGGCTATCTGATCTTGGGGTGGGGGCTTTGGAGAGTCTTCGGTTGCTACACTGCTACACGCATGTTGTCAACCAGGTCTTGGTGGACTGGTCTTGCCAGCTTCGCGTTTCACATGTATCTGCTGGCTTCGGCTTTGGGGGAACTAGCGCTGCAGACTCGGCAATAGTAGAGAGCAGGACAGTTATAGTTTTTGGGTTTTTGCGGGAAGCTAAAGGCATATGGCAAGCGGCGAGAGATGGCAGATTTACCTGGAACCCAACCACAGAAACAGACCCCGGCTGCGAACCCTAAACCCTAAGCCTCCAGGATCATAGTGATCGGATCATCCAGCTCTTCGCGAACATCCTGGCCACAGCAGCTGTGCAGCATCCAATTCATCAGCCGCCGTGTGGCATATCGGCTTACGACTCAAACTGGGCGGTTCCGTTGGTTTCGCAGGTTCCGTGATAAAGGCCCGAAAAAACAAAAACACAACCCAAGTCCATAGCAGGGAGAAGCCCCAAGACGTGAGCGTGCGAGCCAAAACCCCAGGACACTCGAATCATCAGTAGAATCATTACAGTCAAAAAGCTTCATTAGAGCAAAAGGCTGTCCAAACCCTCAACACCAACAAAGGCAGATGGCAAAAGTCTAACTGAGTATTGACACCCTAAACCACAAATCCAAGCACCTTGCAGCCCTAAACCCTACACAACCACAACAGCCTTAATCCCCTAATCACAACTGGCCTAACTGCGATGTAAGTGACTTGCGAATCTCAAACGGCGGGATTACTGAGCATGATCTGAAAGTGCATAATAAATCAGACTGAGAGTGAAGAATACGTGATCGAAGCTTTCTGTGGATGTACAATACAGGTCAGAGGAATGGAAGACTGCCATGCTGCTGTGAGTGATCCTACAAGGATCATGCTAGCTCTTGTCCTGAGGTCATCAAGCCACTTTAGGCATCAGGAGCCTGTACTTCTTGTGATTGGCTTCCATGTTCAAGCCTTCCTCATTCAACCAAGCACCCTGCAATGCGGGCCGCGTCCTTGCCAAGTAGGAGGGGAAAACTGGCCTAACTAAAGGCAGCCCGCGAGAGCAAGCACGGTGTCACGGCCGATGAGTTCAAGGTACTGACCTGCAGGGAGGGCTATGTGTGGAATCATGTATCAAAACAGCGTATACTCTTTCACATGTTACATTAACACAATCTGATGCTAATGCTAATACTAGGACTAAGTGCCAGTCCTAATGCTAATGCTGATGCTAATGCTCATGCATCTAATGCTAATGTTGGCGCTAGTGCTGACACTAACGCAACGGCAAGTGCTAATGCCGGATACGAATATGAATACAACTACTTGACCGTACTGGAATAGAGTATTGTATGCTATGATGTTGCACCACGTATTATCATGCAACACCATGAAATGTCTGTATCACCGTTTGGTACCATGTAACAGGATGTTATACCGCCTCACACCCTAGCACTATCTAACACCATCCAACATGATCTCATACCATCTAACATCACTTGACTTAACACCATCTAATTCCATGTACTGCCAACTGATATCATCTCATACCCATCTAATATTGTGTTATGCCTTCTCATGTCATCTAGTATCAACTGTTATCACCAAGCATCACCAAAGAAAGTAAGTCTGGACTTGGGTCGGGTGGGGTGTTTTTAATGTTTCGGCATTTGTGGTGCTCGGGGTAAACCCGTCACAGGCTTTAGATTCCATCTCTTTCCATCATTTCAAGGTTTTCGGATGTTTCCACTGGAAGACAACAGGTTCGTGCAAAGCGAACGGCATTCCTGGCGATGATGACAACAAAGACAGTCCATTGTAGCACCAGGATGCGTGAGAGTTGCGTTCTCTGTTCAGGCCGCCGTACTATCGGTCTTGCAAGTGTGTTTGTGTTTGGTTGCTGTGCTTCCGAAAACGTGTAACATGTTCGCTAAAATTAGCATCAGTGCTGGAATCGTTGCTGTAAGCCTTTAAGCACCACTACCGATGAACATGTGCACACTTTTGCATTCAGTGGTTCTCCTGCCATGCGGAACGCGGGGTCTTGGGCTGCAGAAGGATCAAAGGGTATATAAGCAACTCAGGAAGGCTCGGCACCTCAGGGCACAATAATTAGACTAGGCTTTGGGGGTATATTATATTATAGTTATCATAAGGAACCCCCAGAACAGTATAGGTAATTATTAAGAACCTGCCAGGCACATCTTTTCGATTGCCTGATGCCCGCCGCGGAGCGAAAGTGCCGACGGAGGCCGGCGAAGCAGCTTTTACTGAGGGGAGTACCGCTGTAATCATCGTCGTAGAAGTGGTATTGCTTTATCAGTTCTACTCACGAGAAGGAGCATGATCAGAGTAGTGTTCACCAAGCGTGAACAATCGCGGTCATAATGCTAACGAGAACGGTCAATGCAAGCCTAGCCTCCGACACAGAGACTGAATGAAAGTCCCTGGACAGAAAAGCAACCGGAAATTCTTGTGGCTCAAGGTCGAAGTACAAAGCAGGTCGTGATCACACTTAAGCTTTAAATTCCCTCGAAGTGTGTCACTGAAGAAAGGAAGTTCAGACCGTATCTAAGTCCTTAGCATCCGATATTCGCGGCCTCCAGGCGGTGCTTCAGCACTTAGCATTCCAAAAGGGGAGTCTTTGGCCGGCCCGCCGAATCCTCGAAGACTTCGCAGCGTTTTTGGGGCCAGCTCTGGCAGAATGACTTCAGGATCAACACTGCCAGCCGAGCCTGCCAAGTCCCTGACATCGCTGCCCAGGGAAGTTCTGAAGTGGATCCAAAGCTTAGACTTGTCTTACAGCGTCCGAAACGCGAAGCGGGACTTCGCGAATGGCTTTCTCGTTGCCGAGATCTTCTCGAGGTATCACCCGCAGGACATCTCCATGCATTGCTTCGATAATGGCCTCAAGGCGGCCACGAAGAATGACAACTGGGAGCAGCTCTTCAGGTTCTTCCGCAAGCACAACTACCCCATCTCGCGGATTGACTTCGACCCCGTGATGGAGAACCAGCCCGGTGCTGCCGTCGCCCTGCTTATCAAGGTTTACACCTTGCTGACCAATAGGACAGTGCCCATCTTCCTCAGTGAGGACATCCCAGACGCCATGGATGCCAGCACCTCGCCCGGCAAGAAGGTGGTGGTGGAGACGCTCTTGGAACCCTCGGTCGCTCCTTCCTCCATTGAGCCCTCCTTCGATGAGAACCGGCTGGATGCCGGCGGAGACTCTCGCCCAGATGCATACCACATCTTCCAGGCCGCCCGGCACAAGAGGCCAGTGGAACGCTCTGTTCCCAGAGCCGTCTCGGAGCGCGGCGAAGCCGTTCCTCTGGACATTCCCGAGGTCTCTGCTCGCTCGCTGACGAGGAACGTGGCGCAGCTGAGGGCCCAGCAGGCGCAAGCCATGCAGAAGAGCTCCGCATCTACGAGCCAGCGGAAGGCCGTGGGGATTGCTGAGAACGGCTCGTCAACCCCTCGCCTGGGCCTGGGCTCCGTGAAGCCCGTGGTGGACATCATGCGGCCGACAGTGGCAACGATACTCCAGGAAGACGATCAGGTGATGAAGTCCCTGGATCCGCGCAAGGACGTCCTGGTCTCGTTTATGGAGCTTTGCCGCACACATGTGCCACAACCAATCGTCGTGCGAGTCTTTCAGGCATTGTCGGACCAGGTGCATCAGTTGATCGAGACGGTGCTGAAGTCCCCGGCCGAGTTCTGGCATGTCTGGCGGCTGCTCAGTCCTACCCTCGTGGAGTTCAGCGAGCGAAATCCAGTCTTTGAGAGCGTCATCACCTTCCTCAAGCGCTTGGGTCAGTTGATGAGTGAGGCGGACACTACACTGACGCAGCAGCTCCTGGTGGATGGCATCCTTCCAAGCTTGGCCCCCTTGCTGGTGGACACCGCCGGCAAGCGAGAGCCGCTCTGTGAAGTCGTCTATGCATACACCCAACCTCAGGTTTTGGCACGGCTCAACGTCCTTCGTGGCCTCAAGGAGGGCATGGACAGCATGCCGGCCTACATTTGCTGCCTTTCCTACTTCTTGCCTATGGAGCTGGAGCTGGGGTTGGATGACGAACACCTACTCCGTCACTATCAGTACTATGCGCTGGTGGCGCTTCAGAGAAAGGAGCCGAGTGTGCGGGTCGCGGGTCTCACGATGCTGAGATCCGTGTCACTCCAGTCACCGAACTTCGCCCAGAACGTGCTGCAGGAGGTGCCCAGCTTCGCTGGCCTTGTCCGGGATGAATGGTGGGAGGTTCAGGGGCAGCTGCTGCTGCTGGTGGGACGCCTGCTGGAGCACACGGCAGGTATGGGCCAAGCCGAAGCTGGCGAGGAGGCCAGCCATGCCGAGGCAGCAGAGCAACTGCTCAAGGTCGCCGCGCAGCTCTTGACGAGCAAAGGCTCTACGAAGATGGTGCTACAGATTGGTCTCTGCGCCCTGGCCAAGGTGTTGAGGCCATATCCTGTGCTGCTGCCGGCGTACGTTGCCGTGTTGCTGAAGCATCCTGCAAACTTCCGTCGCCGATTGCTAGAATCCCACTCGCAGTCCATGCAGGGGACGGCCCCATCACTGAGGAAGCGCTATGTCATGGGTACTTCATGCAGAGTCTATGAGGAGTGCTGCATCTCCGACCAGTGGCCGGCGGCCGATGTGGCGAAAACCTTGGCCGAACAGTGTGCCAGCGAGAATTTGCCTCACTTCGAGCCAGAGCATCTGGAGGTTCTTACTGCATGTATGCCAGCACCGGATGTCGATATTGACAACGACTGGCTTGCAGTCTTCGAGAAGGTTAAGAACCATATCTTCGTAGCCGCTTTGGACCCAATGCTGCATACAGGAGCCGTGAATGTTATTCGCAGGTTCTGGCTTTGCCGCCCGCAGTCCCTGGCTTTGAAAGCTTTGGATCTGTCGAAGAAGACGCTCTTGCAAACCTTATGCCTGAACTACAGCGAGAGTGCCAACTCGCAGATGCGTGTGGAGGAGCGAGTCCTTGTTGAGTTCTTGAGTGAGATGCGAGATGCCGGCGGCGCTGTTGCTCACACGCTGCAAGGTGTCGTGGATCAGTTTCGAGAGTTGCATAACGCCGAGTTTCAGCGGTCCACCTTGGCGAAGCTCTTCGGCTGAAGTCTCCGGCGATAGTCGGCCTGAGTGCTTCCGAACTCGAAGCTACGACCTTCGAGGTGTACCCTATAGAATGCACAGGCATGTGGCGCTTCAGGGAGTTGAAGAGTTAGTGGGTCTAGACTGTCAGGTTTCGATTTGTTGGATTCGGACGTTGGGAGGCTGCAGCTTATCATGTTATCGTTTCACCTGGGCCTGGGCAAAGAATGCACAAGCCCGCGTAGCCAGGAATGCATGTGTGACTGGGCTCCACCACGCTTTCGACTCGATTTGCAGTGGCAGTGTTATTTGGTCTACCGGCATCGTTGTGACCCTGTGCATGACGACTTCCCCCAAAGAGTGGTGAGCTGGCGATCATTGAGTCGACAGCGGCCGATGAGCCCAGTGTAGGGTTTATGGCCTGAGGCTCTAGGATCTGGGCTTTAGGGTTAACGAAGTCCGGTTGAGGGTCGAGGGGGGGTTTCGGGTTCCGGGATTAGGCTTAGAGTTGAGGGGTTACGGATTAGAGTTTAGGGCTTAGTGTTTAAAGTTTAGGGATTAGAGTCTATGGTTGCGGCCTGAGGAATCCATCTGCCCTGCTGCATGTAAAGAGATGTGGCACTTCCTAGTTCGGTCCTCGTTGGTGTGGTGGAAAAGTTTGGAGGGTCCTGGATGGAGGACGCGGGAAGTGGGCACGGTGTCGCTGAAGCCTCAACTTGAGCGATGTGAGACTTGAAAAAGTGTCCGTGCGAAATTCGGCCCTGCAGTCCCCGTGACACCGAGTCCCCGTTCTTCAGCCCCAAACGACGATGGTGTTTGTGCACCGCTTCCAGGCAGAGACATATCGCAGCGCAGCTTGCCTATGGGAAGGACCCGCCTCGAGCCAGTGCTTGCGGCTTCATAAGGCCTATGCTTAAGGTTTCTTAGCAGGTTTTTGTGGGTGAGACTTCGATTAAGGGGTTGTGCCGACACCGCAGGCCCGACCGAAAGAAACCACTGGAGTGTCATAGGGGCTTTTGGCTGGACTCGCGAGAATTGTGTCGTCGTGGCCCCCTTAAGTGCTCCTAGCAAGCCCGTGGGTCTTGCCACGCGCGAGCGGTGCTGTGTTAACGACGGCAACAGTGGCACAGACAGAAGATGCGGTGCTTTACACAAGGAGAGAAAGGGCTGTTGATGGCGTCATGAAGACTTTCTCACCTTTAGAGTCTCGCAATCTCGAAGGACATCTATCGGATGCCACTGGGTGGCGCCGGCGGCACGCAGGTGGATGAAGAGGCACCAGGATCCTAACCCTTAACGTTCTCGCGACCGAGAGTCCATGCAACAAGCCCTAGCCTCTTCCGATTGCATCGGAACGACGCAGAGTAGAGTAGGCACGGATGAAACACACAAGACGAGTGCCGAACAGGAGAAACAAATAACAGCTACGAGTAACGAGTAAGTGCCAGACCCTCTGGATGCAACGGCAGAGAGAGAGAGAGAGAGGCCACCGTAGCAAAACCGAAACGGGGGACATCATGGAACAACCCGGTCTTCAGCCTCACTTTTTCTTATGGACTTCCTAGGTAGCTCCAAAGCTATGTTGCCCCATGTTCGCTCTAGCTCAACAAGCAGAAGCTTCGTAGCACCACGACACGGATGTGGAGCATCCCACCACTTGTACACCGACAAGCATCAGGCACTTGTTGTCGCTCAAGCCTCATGGTCCTCTGTTATCTTGCACGCTGTTGTTTCATCATGTATGGCCTGATGCACTCGAACTGTAAGGGCCTACAGTTAATCCGGGGATAGTAATTTTTGCACTAATGTTGTTTCTCTCATGGTTGTGGCGAAATACAGACCCGGGTTAACGACGGTAGGACAGTAAACAAAAGGGCAGACCCCAGCAAACTGATGTGTTCAGCTACCTCGTTTTCCAGTGTTCTGTTAGCGGTTTGCTTATGGAAGTACATAACCAGCGGGGAAATGCCAGTAGTCACAACACAAGTCATGCCGGGCATTCGGTCATGCGGGAAATACGTTGCGTGTGTCATTTTCATTGACTACTGGTACTACTTCTGATTGTTGCTTCGAAGTGAAAATTTCCCGGACCGAGATCGGCAGAAAAATGCTCGTACAGTGTAGTCCAAGGTACCGGGGGATCACACAATACTGCACCACTTTAGTTTAGCGGTAGTGTGGATTGTTGCACACAATGATGATCTACCCGGGGAAACCAACTACAAACCTCTTTCACACTCCTCCAAAGTCCCCACAAAATCTGGGGGGGCCCTAGTGGCCGAGGGGTCTTAACAGCCCCTCATGCCCGGCGGAAGAAGAGAGAGAGAACTAGCAAATGCTACACCCTTAACCGCGCACAGAGAGTCCCACACCTTAAGCCGCAAGCCCTGACAGTGAGCTTTGACTAGCTGGCGGCTTGTTTCCTCATACTCGGTACAGTGCGCCTGGGATACCTGTGCGAGATGGCAAGCCGTCGAAGCATGACTTCACTGTGACCTCGACCACCTAACAATCCAACGCCCCTACCCTCTTCGAAACCCCCCATTCGTGGCACCCCTTGAGTGAGCCACTTGATACAGTACCTTCAGATGTTACACTGAACCCCGAGACGTACAGTTGAAGAGATAACCTGCTCGCCCAACAGTTGGAGATTGTTCCGGAGAAGCAGGAGAAGGCCAGCAACACTTCCGACATTGCCTTCGCCATTTTTGAGTTGACAACCGTTATTTCATCTGCTGGTAGGAGCGTTCCGAGCACCATGTGTTTGTAAGTGATCGTTTGTTACCGGTCTCTTTGCTGAGACTAGTCGTTGCAATAAGGCTTGTACTGATGGCTACAACCACTATCATCACACTCTGGAGAATGTATACTCGTAACAGTAATGTGAGGGTGGTTATGTGCCTTTCCCATATAGCAGAGCCAGGTTCTGGCCTGGCAGCACTGCATCATCTAAACCAATATCGATGTGTCGCAGTTTTAGATTATGTGTTGCGTCTCGGTGCTTTCTCAGCACTCTTGTTTTGGCTCGTGGTTTCTTTGTAGGTCTATATTGTTTCTTCAACCTTCTCGAGTGCGAGTGCTGAAAAAACTGTTTCTTTCTGCCTTGTGTCCGGGCTTGCATGCGTTTTCTGTCCCATGTCTTTGTTCTTTCTTTGCATATCAGAGGGGTCCGACTGTCGAAATAAGTCTGAGAAGGAAAAGTCTGTTTTGGCAGTGCATAGCCACGCTGTTTTTTGGTTGTTTCTTCAACATGTTCTTTCAGCGTCAAGCCGTCGCTAACGGCTGCACGCAAAAACCATGAGAACAAGACCATGTAGAGGATATGAAGCACGCATAGATGATGATGGTGATGGTTCGTCGACGATCATGCTGAGAACGATGATGGTAATGACGATTTGTTCTCGCCATCCTGATTGCTAATTATGCTTAGTAACCGTATCTCGAACATAGGCATACTCAATCGTCATTTCAACGCTCTCCAAAGGCTGGCCAAGAGTCTGACTTAGAGTGAATACTCTAGACGAGGGATTTCTTGTATCTCTCTGGCCACTTAGCCCGAACCCTGGTTCATCCTGTGCCCGTTTCAATCCGTACAAGCACTGAATCCTACAGCCATGAAAAAGCCAGGATCCTAGACCCTTAAGCCTTAAACTTGAAGCCCTTTGGCCAAACGCTAGCAAATCCTGCGTCGGCACTGGCCGACTGCGTGAAAGGACTCCTTCTCCCGGAACGCCACAAAGTCGCGCACAGTTACTGCCTCGGACCACTAGCATAAAGGGCCTTTGTGCTTCGCAGCTTTTGCGGGGTTTCTGAGGGTTGTACACCGGTGCTATACAATCTCGATAGGGTAGGTTTGGGGTTAAGGGTTTTTGTTCACGCGGAGCGCCAAACTCTTATTTAATTATTCTGTTCAACCCCAAACCCCTTTGACACTACCGCAGCGCGACTTGGAGTCACTTCCGTGCATTCACCAAGCTCTGGATTTAAAAGGATCCAAGGGTAAAAGGAGGGACCCTTAATAAGGACCCTAGGTATATACCCTTAATATCCCTTAATATTATATACCGGAAAAGGAGGGACCCTTAATGAGGATCCCTGCCCTATAATGGGCTTTATAATGCCTTTGAAAAGAGTCCGTGTTTCCGGCCTTTGGGTGCTCTTAGCTCCCCAGCTAAAGCTATCTTCGGCTAGCTGGGGGCGAGCTTTCCGCAGGCTGAGCTCGCGAGAACCCGCTTTTCGGGTTTAAGTTTTTTGGTCAAGGCGCCACAAGGTAAGTAGGGTTATAAGTACCCTAATTAGGGTTATAAGTAATTTTAAGCATAGTTACCCTAATTGTAACCCTAGTTTCCTGGTGTTTAAAGCCGGTCTATGCCAGTCGCAGCACTTGGGTCGATTTTTTGCCCCATCGCTGAGGTCACTAGTGTGGGTCGTCCTCTGAATTGGAGTAGTTTGTCTGACTCCCCACGCCAAGTACGGTCAGAACAGCCGTAAGTTATCTGGGACCACCGCGGACTGGTCTTGTGATCTTTGGGGTTTACGGCCGGTCCGGGCCGGTTGGTATTTGGCCTAATGGGCGGGCTACTCGCGGTTTGTCTTAGTGCTAGGGGCAGGTGCGTTCTACTTGCCGGGAATCGACCTAGATACATCGCGGACCGGAGCTGCAGCACCATGCTGCACCCTGTCCGTAAACCCTACCACCGAAGCCCCAAACGTCATAGCCCGTGGCCACTGAGAACCGGGAGAGCCAGGAGCCGTGCTGCGGGAGGTTTTTTTTGAGGGCTTTTGAGTTTAGGGGTTTAGCAGGGGTTGCCCCTGGCATCCGAGTCTTGTAGTTTGTGTTTTGATCCCCAGAATCTTCCCATTGAACGCAGGAAGGATTCTCGCCGAGTAGAAATTCAACGGGCTGTTTTGTGCGTGCAGACATGCTACTCAACGGGTTGTGTCGTGCTATATATATATATATATAGTATACATATATATATATGTGTGTGTATTATAGTTTGCTACGTTGTCCTTGTTTGTCGGGGTTGAAGACTTGGGGCTTGGGGTCAAAGGCTTGGGTGGAGACCCGGCTTTGCTGCTCCTGATCTGTCTCTCCAGTTCTTCACCTGAATCAACGGGCTGGCTGACATTGCAGGTTCGGTCGCGGGCTGTGCTGCGTTTCTGATCTTACTTGTGGTTCTGGCTGTTCTCATGCTGTTCCAGACCTTGATCTGCTGTCTGTTCTGTTGCTGCTAGTTCCTGCATCATGGGTCGAGTCCTTGATGTTGCGCCGTTGTTCATACTGCCACTGCTGCCAGAACACTGCAGCAGGCCTGGCAGGTAAGCCGGAAAACCCTTAGTAACTAGGGTTATAATTAGGGTAACTATACTCATAATGACTTATAACCCCAATTAGAGAGTGCAGGAGTCCTTCAATCTCCCGGCCACCGTGGCAGCAAGCTGGCCCCTCGCACGGCACAGGCCGGCACCCAATGGCAGGGTCGCGGGCGTTCCAGGGCCAGGGTTTCGAAAGAAGGACTTTAGCGGCGAGGGTTACAGGGCTCGAGGATTGAGGATTCAATGCCATCTGTTTTCCAATACGGTTCAGGGGCTTGAAGAGTTTCCGCTATCTCGCCCCAAGGCTCTCACACAGACTGCCTTGCCACTTCTGTTGCTACTGGTACCGCGACTACAACTACGAGTACAATAGCAGCACAAGTACAAGAAGAAGAGCACGAACATGATGAGCAACGCACCTCGGAGCCCCGCAGAGCCGAATAGCTCCGTAAGTTGAAGGCCATGTGCTGTATCTATATATATATATATATATATATATATATATTAGACTGTAACTGTTACCAATACTGTATGTCTGTATATTATGATATTATATGATGCCAAAGGCCTCCAGATTCACCCCCCCCCCACACCCGAAACCCAGCGGATGCCTCGCAGGTCCAGTGGGGGCATCCCGCCTGCCTTGGAGCTCGATGCCGGGGGCCCTGGGGCCTTACTTAAAGGGTCATGGGACTCAGTAACTAGGGTTATACTTAGGGTAACTATACTTATATTTACTTATAACTCCGGTTAGGGTACTTGTAACCCTACTTGCTAAGTCCCATGATCCTCCAAGTAGGGCCGGTCAGGTAAAACTCGATTTCTTTGTGAGTACACATGGTTTGGGAGAAGAGAGTTTTCATGAGGGTCCTAGGGTTCCTAGCTCTTGCAGCTTTAGGCGGAAGTGTTCAGGGCTTCAGGCGCAGGGAGATTGAGAAGGCTTCAGGGATTTCGTAGAACCTTAAGTCAAGCCCTACTTGGAGGATCATGGGACTTAGTAAGTAGGGTTATAAGTACCCTAATCGGGGTTATAAGTAATTATAAGTATAGTTACCCTAATTATAACCCTAGTTACTAAGTCCCATGACCCTTTAAGTAGAGTTGTAAGCGGTCCGAAACCCTGAGCCGCCAGATCCTCAACTTTTCAGCTCAGGTTTTGCAGGCGACCGAAGTGTTGCAAGCAGCACTTCTGCTTGATGCATGAGTTCGCCTTGATCCCGTGGTCCCCCTTTGTAGAGGTGGAGTAGAGCTTGTCATGCTAGCATGAAGAAGACGTCGGACCAAGAAAGCATGATCTAGTAGATGCAATGGGTGTTACAGCGGACAAGGAGATCAATCAGCATCGCATTGAAGAGGGTAGCCTTTACTTCGGAAGCGTCTACGCCGTGCTTGCCAAGGCTCGAAACTTTTCCAAGGGCACGACGAACTTGTCGGAGGCAGCGGGCATGCTGGATGTGGAGCATGTGTGATAGGCGGGGTGGGCACCTTAGGCCCCAACTGACTTGAGTGCCGTGAAGCCTTGAGACAAAATGGCTTCGGCTCAAGCCAATTTTGTTAAAACAATCGCTGCATCTCTGAAGCAATGACGGATGCAGCTGTGAACATTCTCGCCAACATGACGCAAGAAGCAGACCCACCCTTGACAGCAACTGAAGATGCAGGCGCTGTTGCTTGGGTGTTGACGTCGACAGCCTTGGTCTTTTTGATGACGGCAGGACTTGGCTTCTTTTATGGAGGCCTGGTCCGCGACACCAACATTATCAACACCATGATGATGAGTGTCGTCTCCATGGGGATTGTCACACTGACGTGGGTGGTGTTTGGCTTCTCATGGGCCTTTGGAGACAACGGGGAGAATGGCATTGGTCTTTTCATTGGCAATTTTGACTACAGCTTTTGGATGGGTCTGGATATGAAGAACTGGGACACGCTTCCAGGTCTCGCCTTCGCTTCTTTCCAGATGACGTTCGCCATCATCGCCAGTGCCATCATCTCCGGATCCTTGGTGGAGCGTGTGCGCTTCAGTGCTTACTGCATCATGCTGGCCCTTTGGTCCCTTCTGATCTACGCACCTTTGTGCCACTGGGTTTGGGGACCTGGCGGCTGGATTGGCAGCCAGCTGGGAGCTCTCGACTTTGCAGGTGGAACCGTGGTTCACATCAGCTCAGGTGTGTCGGGCCTCGTTGCCGGTGCAATCCTTGGCCCACGCAAGCACGTTGAGAAGGACCTGGGCCCGGCCAACGCCCCCTTCGTGATCTTGGGTGGCTGCCTGCTTTGGTTCGGCTGGTTGGGATTCAACGGTGGCTCTGCTCTGTCCACCACAGACGGAGTGGCAGCGCGCGCAGTGGCCACTACTTTCGTGGCTGCGGCTTCCTCCATGCTGACCTGGCTGGCACTTGAGCGTGTCCTGAAGGGCAAGTCAACCAGTGTGGGTGCTTCTGTCGGTGCTGTTGCAGGCCGGGGGATCACTATGGAAAGCATGTAGTACAGGGGCCTAAATAGAAACCTCTGCTGTTTTGGGGGTTCCTTATTATAACAGTATGGGCCCCGAAACCCTATTCTAATGACTAAGGCCCTTCTATTCAGGCCTCATGGAAGTTGAAGGATTTGTGCCTGTTTTGAGCCAGGTCTGGTGGTCATCACCCCGGCAGCCGGCTTTGTGACACCTGGCTGGAGCATTGCCCTCGGCGTGTTGGGCGCGCCTTGGTGTTACTTCACATGTGAGCTGGTGAACAGGATCAACTTGGTGGATGACACTCTTGACGCCTTCGGCTTGCACGGCTCCGGGGGCTTTGCGGGTGCCATCCTGACGGGCATCTTTGCAGTTGACGATGGCCTCATCTACAGTGGTAGCTTCCTGTTGTTGGGCAAGCAGATTGCTGGCGCGCTGGCTGGTGTGGCTTTCTCTGCTGTGGGCACTGCCATCATCATGGGAGTCATGAAGCTGCTGTTCAAGCTTCGAATTCCGGAAGAGCACGAGATTGGTGGTGTTGACGAGCACACTCACGGTGAGACTTACCACAGCCCAATTAAGAAGTATTCTGCAGCTGCCCGCATGACTGAATCGTCGGAATCATCAGAGTCCGACGCTGTCTGCTGAGCATGACAGAGGCGACAAGTGCCTCTACTTTCGCCCGTGTGGTTGGAGACCATGCGGGAGAGATCGGCATCAGTGAACAGCTGGCCATGACGAACAAAATGTCATAGGGGTCACGGAAGTCAGTGGCGTTGCGCATGTTTTTCTGAATGCGCTTCGTCGGCACTCTTGACATATTCGGCGTGCTTGAGCCTGCCACCCTTGATCACCGACTGAGGACCGAGAGACCCCATCAGGCATCATCCGAGTTCTGAGAGCGTAAAGCCTTGAGAGCCTTGAGATCCAGAGCCCAGAGCCCTAATTTGAAACGCCAGGCTTCAGCACCCGCAAGGGCCCCAAAGCCTGATGCAGGATCCAAGCGACATCGGTATGTCTCCGCTTGCGCGCGATGACTTCAGTCACTTGGCGATCAGAGAACTTGGCGAGCCCTGAAGGCCTTTGCCATTGATCGAGTTCTCAGCCAACCTGAAGTCGTTTCATGAAGGAATACAGTATCGAAGGCCTTTGATTGGGATGTTGCCGTAAACCCTGAAGGGGGGCCACGTTATCGGGTTTGATGGGGTGTTTTGGGAATGAAGGCGACCCTCAACAGTCCTTGGACTTGCCATCTTGTGAGCAGTTTCGGACGAGCTCCCTGCTGTGCGACTTTGTCAGCTGGGCGGGTGGAGTCAGCTGCTAGTCCCGACCGTCAAAGTACACAGCACCAGAGACCTCGTCAGGCATGTCCGAGATGCGAGAGCGTAAACCCTAGCTAGCATTTGGCATGCGCTGCTGCCATCCACTGCTTCTCAGGCGTCATCTCTGAGCCCGAAGATGACGATGGCAATCAGGACCCGATGGTGATGCTTGCATGTAGGGATATTCAGGGTTTAGGGTTTGATGATGGTGAAGACGGCTGCCGACAGCGATGACGATGGTGATGGATTGTGTCATGACATGTGTTGTGCTTTGACATTTGCACGGTGAGTATCGCTCTGCGGTTGTCTCCAGTTTCCTGACCGGGATCTGAGTCACCCCGATCGGGACCAGAAACATTGAACCCTGGCACACTGCCCCAAACCCACAACGCCCCGACACCCCTTCAATTTGGAAAGCGTGAACATGACCGAAAGCCGTCCGCCTCAATAACATGGACGGTGTTCCGGACGTTAAGTTGCTGGGACAGCTGAACCCTTAAGCCCTGAAGCCCACAGTTCGAGAACTAACTAGGATGCCTATTATGGAGGACGTAGGATGCCGGTTATAAGGACCCTAAGTGCCCTTGGCCCCCAAACCCTAAACCCTACACCCTTTGGGTGGCGGCGAGGATCAGACCGAAGAAGAGGTGCGCTCGATTTTTTTAAGCCGAGGTGTGGTTTAGAGTCAGAGTTTAGGGTGTTTGGGTTTTAGGGAGTCGGAATTAGGGTTCAGGCTGAAGGGTTTAGGGGCTGCGGTTTCGGGTTAAGGGTTTAGGAGCTAAGAGAGTTTAGATGTTTTTCGCGTGGGATCTGGGCTCGGAATTTGCAGTTGGAGGCGTCGGACCGGAAAGCAACGGATGCATATTCCTGTTATTATTATTTCATTATATGCAGGAGGCAAAAATTAGTGTCATTATTTTAGTTAGTTGTGTCATTATCAGCACTGTTATTGTTTAGTTGTTATCTTTATTATTACTGTTATTAGTATTGTTCTTCTTCTGCTTCTTATTGTTATCATTACTGTGTTTACTGTCATTAGTGCTGTCATCGCTTTTGCTATTGCTAGCGTGATTGTTGGACTATCTACTAGCATTCATTTATTATGATTATGATGATTGCTCTGTCTTTATGATTACAATAATCATAGTGATTATGATTATGATGATGACTAGTAGTTTCGCCTATGGTTACAAGAATCACCGTGATTGTATGATCATTGTTCCAACCAGCTTGTTCTTGTTTTTGTTTCTGCCGGCTCGGGGCCTTACCCTAAACACCTGGGTTCTTGCTCAGGAGTTTGGTTGAAGCTTCCATAATGAGACAAGACAGCCACATTATTTTCATAAGGATCACCATTTTGGACGCTTAAATCAGCAAGAACCCACACAGTCACACACTGCCGACGTCCGCTTATGAATGTCGGACCTTATTGGGAATGTGCTCAGCCTCGCCTTTCCTAGACTCTGCAAGTGGGAGACAGCAAAGCAAGAAGTACTATGGGACCTGGTATAGTGCGGTGCTGGTCGTAAAGTCGTAAAGGCTGTAAGGATTGCAGAAAAGGGACCCTCTGATATTCCAGAACTCCCAGCTAGGTCATCAAGGGGTCAGCGTAATTAGCTTCACTTGGACGGTCGCGAGCATAGCGCCGAAGCCTCCCTGAGCTTGACACTTGCTCAAAGGTTAACACATTGAATAGGGTTTTGGGGTACGGTATATTGTACCATAATCATAATAAGCAACCATTTTGCGTTGCCTGGCGCTGCTAGACCCTCTGGATGAACTGCAGAGAGAGATAACCCCAAAATAGTATTGGTAGGCCCCTATATTAGGCTTGCGGTTTACAAAAAGCTGTTTGGGATTTAGCGCTTATATACGCGTCTGAAAGATAAGGGGTACCTGATTTCGGGGTCCTTATAATCACGATGCGACCATTGAGGGTATTACACTAAGGTCCCGTATTATCGGAAACTCCCATCGCAAAAGTAAGAAGGCTTATGAGCTGCGGGCTGCAGGTTCGCGACTCTCCGGCCCGTAGGAGTGAAGGTAGTAGTTTATCAGCAACCAGTAGCAGCTACCAAGTGAGAATATCTGAGAGTTTTAGAACATGGAGGACCTTGATGTAAGAACTAAAATGTAGGACCACTGAGTAGGATAAGGACCCCCAAGATAAGGTACTGCCGATTTAGACCCCATCCAACCGCTCTCATCGACCGCCCAGGCTCTTTATGCTCACACGCAGCCCAGCTGCAAACAGGTCTTCTGAGACCCGCCGCCCATAGCTTTGTGGTTACGCTTTCTGGGGAGCTGGGCTTTACAGCATCTAATGCGGTCTCTTGATCCAGCACTTCTTCCTTAAAAACGGGAGATGGAATTTGGATCTACATACAGTAGGGTTTGGTGTTGGTTCAGGATTTGGGGTTGCAGTGCTGAACCTCTGGGCCATAGCCCCGGGCAGGCCCTAGGCACAAGAGTCGAAACGAAAGGAAGGAAGTAACTACGTCAGTTAGTATGTAAGTGAGTATATCTATCTATCTATCTCTCGCAGTCTCAGTCTCAGTCTCTCTTTCACAATCACAGCATGCAGACTTTCCCAACTGAGAAGCCAATCCCAGATTACAGACTTTAGTTTTCGGGCCCGCAGCTCCGAAGCCCAGACACACCTGATTATGCTGCTGAACCACCACCACCACCAGCACCACCACTCCCACTTTATTCTTTTCACTGTTTCTTTTTACTGATTATCCTTGCTACTACTACTACTACTACGACGACGACTACTACTACTACTGCTGCTGCTGCTGCTTCTGCTGCTGCTACTGTTGCTACTATCCTTGCTATTCGCATTATCTTTTACAAGCAATGTTGTTATCACTGCTATGTAAGCGATGCTTGCTAATATGTCGATATTCTCACTATATACTATTGTTCTTGCTATTGGCCATGGTTTTTCCAGCATTGTTCTGAGTAGTACTATATCGGTCCGTGCCCACCAAAGACCACAGCCAAGGTGCATGGTCTCCAAAGGAGAATACCTGACGAGTGACCCGGCCCGATTTTAAGTCGCAGGATCAGGCTCACGTGAGCCCTTTCCCGATTTGCGAAACCTCAGTTCTTCCAGAGCCCAAGAATCAAAGCTTTATGTAGTCCTTCCATGTGGGTGGCTGTCAAAATTAGGGTCCCTTTTGGGTTCCTTATTATAATACGGCACCTAGTATTTAGGGTACCCAAAAAGGGGACCTTAATTTTGACAACCACCTATGTGATAAACCACAACGGTTGAGGCCCTTCAGTATCGTAGTCACGATTGTACAGCTGCCCGGTAGTCAGCTGCAGTTCCCCCTTCAACCCGGGGTTCAGAGAGAGAAGGAGAAAACATCAACAGCCTACTGTAGGGACCTTAATAATCAACTATACTATTGTGGGGGTCCTTGTAAAAATTACAGTAACTTATACTATAATACATCTCTTAAACGCTTGGGCAGGGCGAGAGGGAAAAATGTTTCTTAAACCCTAGTCTTCTTATTAGGGCCCTAGATTAAGCCCTAAGCCGCCTCGCAAAGGTATGCTGCTTGAGCCGGAGATTGTTCAGCTGGTGTGGATGCCTTGGGCCCGGTGATTAAGGGTGCCTGAGGCAGAGTGACAAAGAGTCATGGATGTGTCAGAACCCCTAAACCCTAAACCCTAAAGTGTTTGAACCCATATATAGATGTGGGTGGTTGTCAAAATTGCGGTCCCTTCTTGGGTCCTTAATCTAATGCGACACCTAATATTAGTTAGAACTTGGCAAGGTATCATCTAACTATATTTAGGGTGCCCAAAAGGGGGCAGTATTTTTGACGACTACCCATGTGTCAGAACCCTGAGGTTTGATCGCACAGGTAGAGGATACCAGAAATCTACCGGTTGCATTTTCCTAACTACCGTTACTTTGTTTTTTTCGGCATTTTGTCAGGTTGTAAAGGTATCTGTGATGTTTGGACTTTGAAGGGCTTAATGTTTGACGTGGACCACAACATCCTCAGTTGTCTAATCTGAAGCTTTACAACTCCAAATCCGCCAAAGCCCAAAATCAAAAGCCCTAAGCCCCGAGGACTCAAGCTGTTGGCTGGCTCCCCAAATCAAATCCTGCATCGCAAGCCACTGTAGATACATTTCGGCAGCTTCCAGCCCGTCCAATGTGGGATTGCTGCGTTTATGGTTCAGGTTTCGATTGTTGTTGGGGTTTAAGGTTGCAGTGCTGTGTACGGCTTTGAGATTCTGAGATGTTTTGAAGAAGGCAGGTTGTGAGCAACCCGACTCTACACCCTTCCTCAAGACATTGCTCTT